CACTCTCATGAATGAGCCGTGTCTAACAGTGAGTAACTGCATTGTGTGCCGTTGCTGCAGAGTCTTGTCCTTGGACATTAGCCACAGCATTCCTGTGCCACTAGCTAATCTCACGACCTGACCGGACACCCTCAATAAGCCTCTCCTGTGTGAAAGATCTGTGTGAAGTGAGCTTAAAGACATGGGGAGCAGAGGGTCTAAAGACGTACCGGCTCTGCCAAAAGGGACTCCAGCATTGTACATGTACAGACACTATGGCCATAAGAGTTGTAAGGTTCAGGACAAATGGAATTGGTATACCAGAGATGATTCTAGCTTGCAGTTTCCCCTGGAGGGAACATTTGATTTAAGTAAAATCATTCATCTCTGCGGAGCCCTTGAGTCAAGAGGCAGTAAAACACTACAGACTCAGTGGGATACATTTTTGATTGCTATGCAGAAGCTTCCAAAAGACGTCAAGAATCTCAAGTTCGGAGCCTTAAGGAATCCCAAGAAAAACTAAAATATCAGATAAAGGAATTAAAACAGAAAAATGCACCAATAGGGGATCCCCCATCAACAACATCATCAGCACCAACACAACTTTATCCACAATTGACTGAGAATGAATCTGTAGAAGACATAATTGATTTTTTCAGTGTGCCACCCCCATACCAGTCCCAGGCACAATCTGAACCCGAGGAAGTTACAAGTAACCAAATAGATTCTTCCTGCAGAATCAGCCCACCCCATCAGGAAACCATCACTCAACAACCATCACCTGCCCCTGGGGCATGCGAGGCCACCGGAGACATTGTATCTGTCTCCTGAATCCTCGACCTCCTCTTATTTAAGGTCCGGCACCCAGTATGGTCCAGTCCCACCTTTAAAAATGAAAAAGACTCGTCTTATGCCTTTATACCAACTCCCACAGCAGGGTCCAAATGGGGAAACTACAGTCACAGTCCATGCCCCCTGGACCCCAGGAGATCTCCTAAACCTTGTTAAGCAATTCCCCAATATCAGGAAAGAACCCCAGAAGTTTAGAGATGAATTAGAAACTGTAATCAATTGTTATGAGCCAACATGGGCGAATTTAAACCAATTAATGAGAAGTGTTCTGCCCTCTGAGGTCCGTAACCGCCTCATCGCACAGGCTAATTGGCCTCCTCAAGACTCTGGAATGGGAAGTCGCTTGGTAGGTGCCCGAGAACGCCTTCTTGAGGCTGTGCTTAAAATCTGCCCCAGGAAAACTGACTGGGCCAAAATTAATAACTAAGCAAAATAAATGAGAATTCCCAGCAGACTACATGGATCGCTTCAAACTCATATTTGAAAGACATTCTGGCATTGAAGATGCAGCTGAAACTGCCCAGCCTGTAAAATTAGATTAAACCCAGCTAAGCCGTTACCTAAAGTTGCTCAATATCCTTTATGCCCAGAAGCCGAAGAAGGGATACACCCTGTTATAACGGCTCTTTTGAAGCAAGGTATCATTGTCCTGACTAAGAGCCCTTGTAATACACTTATTATTCCTGTAAAGAAACCTGAAAAGAATACCTATCGCTTTGTACAAGACCTCTGTGCAGTAAATTCTGCAGTTTTACCTACTTTCCTGTTGTACCAAATCCAGCCACTATCTTGTCCTGTATTCCTCCTAACGCCTGTTATTTTACTGTTGTTGACTTGTGTTCTGCATTTTT